ACGGCACTCCGAACCACTTCAAGTCACTCCGAGTCACTCCGGCACTCCGTACTATGGTTCAGAGTGGCGAAGTGTATTGTTTTTCCAAAGGAGCTTAGGGACCATGATTGTTCTGTTTTTTTGGGAAGAACATTGGGAGAAACATTACTATTTTGTTCCAAAGAAAAACAATACACTTCGCCACTCTGAACCATTGTCCAGAGTGCCGGAGTGACTTGGAGTGGTTCGGAGTGCCGTGGGCTTAAGGAAACTTTATTGAACTAAACTGTCCCAGAAATCTCTGTTCCCGCAACAAAACAAAAAGGTCCTGTCTGTGGTAAAAGAATTCACAGAGCAGAGCACAATCGCTCCAGTATCATGTTCCCAACTAAAGAACATGATTGTTCTGCTTTGAGAACGTGATTGCTCTGTTGTGAGAACGTCGTCTAGCAAAACAATGCAACTCTATCACTCAGTTGAAAAAATCTTTAGAAAAAAGATATCAAAGCTCAACAGGTTATCATGACGATTATGTTGTGTAATCAATTTTTGCAAGCTGAATCTCAAATGTTAACAGTCTATGATATTAGGCATACAACGATTACGGTTACCGTAAATAACCGCTTTATAACAACTTATTGTATGTTTGGTTTTTAGTTCTTTAATATCGGTTTACATTAGAAATAGACGAGGATGGTCTTTGTCCTGACATTATAGTGCATCTGCTATAGCGACAATCTACACTACGTTGCACAAAAACGGCTGTTAAATGGCCGCATCGGTGAATATTTTTTTTTTTAAACATATTTATTTCCAATAGTTATAAGAAAGATACAACGGAAACAATGAACATATACGGCAGGTCAGGCAGGCCCATTGTGTGCCGGTTTCTCATATACAACACAAAAAAATAATAATAATAAAATGATAAAATACATGAATCTAAAAAGGTTGAATATATATAAAAAATGAAAATGATAAATTCTTGAAATATAATAAAATGATTAGTATGACAGTTGTTTTGAGATAAAAGTGAGATACGAATTATTTTACGGAGAGGAAAAGGAGAGAGAGATGTTAATTATCATAATATGACAATGCATTTAACATAAATTCAGATAAAACATCAAGGCTGATCAAACCGCTGAGTTGTAGCGATAAAGTGGAGGACAGCATTATATAGTTCAATCAGTTCTTCTTTGCAGAGTGCTCTTATCAAACTGCGTTGCAAGAAAACATGGTCAATTGTTACTGTTTTTACTTTTAAGACATTCCCAAACAGCTGTAGCATCACTTGACGTGGGGTATCATACTGAGTACAATGCATAAAGAAATGTTTAGTTGATTCCTTATCATCTCCACAAATACAATCTAACGAAGGCACAAATTGTCTTATAAATAAGGGTTCATTCAATTGTGGAAAACCAAGTCTACATCTCGTATAATGGATCTCAAGTTTTCTATTCTTAGCAGGAGAAACCCGGAAGGATTCTAGGAAAGATGATTCTAAGTACGATTTAAAACGTCTATACTTACGATCATTACGCACGTCTTCATCCAACTGATTCCATAGTTTACTTGAGCTTCTCATGAAAGTTCTTTCAAGTCTCAAGCTTGCCTTGAAGCTTGTCGGAATATCACCTCGAGCCACACTTCTTGTGGCATACAACACTTTATCGTACTTTGGCGCAAGCTCATGTAAATATGGAAACGTGTTGCCGTGCATAATTTATAGAAGAGGTACAATCTTCTCACATAAACCAACTGCGTTACTGACAACCAACCTAAGTCTTACAGAATTTTCTGCTGCGATGTACCACGCATGCAACCCGACACTGCGAGTGCAACAATCGTAACAATATTTCTGTCAGTTAAATAACTTTCAAGCCAGTCCACCATAGAATCAGATATACCTTTATTACGTAATTTCATCAATAAGCCTGCATGGGATACTCTATCGAAGGCTTTGCTAAAGTCTAAAAGGGCTGCTATAACAGAATCTCGTGCTTCTATACTATTAGCAATGAAGTCAACTATATCAACAAGTTGATTGACTGAGGAATCCCTTGGCAAAAACCCAGATTGATTCTTACAGATTAAGTTATTGACTCAAAGAAACCCAAAAACATGTATATATACCACTCTTCGAACACCTTTGACAACGTCGGTAATAATGTAATTGGCCTGTAGTTAGAACATATTTGGGTATCATATTTGTATTGACATTATTATTTTTACTAGCTAAATTATTGGCAGGAATGTGGTAAGCAGACGTTCTACAAGTTAGGCCAAATCTACCAGAAAATACATTTTTCCGCTGCGAGAGTAAAATGCCTATAACTTTTTTTCTAACGAACGTAGAGACTTGCGGTTTTTATCGTTCACTTCAGCTTGCTGAGCTCTGTAATACGATGCAGATCTTGCCACTGACGTCAAAGGTCGATGTAAATGGTGGTAGGTTTTATATGGAACGAGCCTATTTGTCGATGCCTAAAACACCACTCTGCAGTAGTAATATCCGAAAAAATGAGTGTTCGCACTTTCAGCTACAAATGAATTACCAGCCATTTTGTAGAGTATTGAAAGAGCTTTCTTTTGATATATGATACAGACCGCAACCTAGGTTCTCTCATGGTGAAAGAACAGAAATACTATCGTGGATTATGCTGAAACGGTCATTTTTAACAGTAATATTGCAAAAACGTGGATGTTCGCAGTGTACATAACAATTGAGCAATAGATAGTTTTGTTCGCCTTTAAAGCTGCATCGAATGGTATATAAGACTTTCCTTCAGACTTGTTGTATTTTGAGAAAATTACGAAAAAGGCCTCGAAATGGGCTCGCGGAGCTATTGTTCGATTTTCTGACAGATATGAGGTCCGAAGGGGAACCAAGGGTCCCCATAAAACTGCACGCTCTTTCATTCTAGATACCTATCGAGATGATCTGAAATGGGGCCGATCCTCGTTCTTATTGCACCCCGTCTTTTCCCATGATTTTTCAAGAACTCTCACACGATAGTCGACAATAAATGAACATGTGATCCTGACAACATTTCACTTGATATTTTGTGAACCCTACCCTTTGAAATTCATTTGCTTTTTCGTCTTAGTAAAAAGTTAGGCGATACACAAGACATAATTCTCACTGGTTTGCGCTGAATTTATCAAGAAGCTTGGGCGATACTTTTCCATTTTTATTAGTGTTAATGTTAAAGACTGTAGATGTCAGTTATTAAGTGAACTGAGTGAAATGATAAGGCAAGTAAAATGTCACGTACAGATTTTCATTTACACATTTTATCACATGACGACTTCGGAACAAGCTCATTTAGGTGAAATATAGTTTCAGTTAGGAACCCCTACCGTTTCTAATCCGACAAATTGCTATTATAGATCATCAATTCATTACCTTACTTCTAACAAGAACTCGAAGCGATACGGTCACTGTCCGTGTTGAGTCCTTTTAAAGAAATTATTTATAGTTTTATTTCTCATTGTTTATACCTCTGAAGAACTACAATTATCTAGTTATTGAAAGATGATTTTTTCGGTTTTTTCTATGGGAACATGATGAAAAAACGATGAAACGTTTAACTCCTGAGTACGCGGCAACAGGAGCGGGAATGAGATCGAAATACGAGGTTGAGGTAAAAGAGTTTTATCGTACAGATAACACTACAACCAAATCCAGCACTAGTTAGCCAGCCGTGTTTCCCAATTGTGAACACAGACACTGCATGGGAGCTACGTGCAGTATTCACGCTGCCGGTAGGTGTCCAAGCTTCTATTGGTGGATCATACAACTAGGCACTATTCAAAATACCACTACTATGATCAACTCCACCACAAACTAACACTTTTTATTTATTAACACGGTGTCATCATCAAACTGCGTTTAGTCTTGATGTTATTTGCCTTTTCATATATGTGGATGTGAATTCATCCCAGCCGTTTTTCTCCATTAGAGTCGAGCGAAAAGAAATCTCGCATCTAATAAATTAGCTAGATCCAATAATTTAGGATCATCAAACAATGTAACTGATAATACAATAATTGATGATGATGTTGACAATGAATCCGATATAAACACCAGTAGTGGAAATGAGGACAATGATTATTACGGTGAGCATGATGAAAGTGAAAATATTTCTGACGGGGAAACCTATCCAAGTGATACATTTCGATTTCAATCGTTCATACGTCGATCAATAGAGGGTATCGAGCTAGTAAAAACCTAAAAGGATTTTTCCCTATGACTCTTGAAGATCGGGTTTTCTGAAAACCAGTTTTTCAGAAACTCTAAAAAATAACCAGAACTTTTCTTAATAAGACATAATTGTAGTCCGCAAATTTCTGATTAAAATAAGACATCTCCCAGCTCTACATGACCTTTCTTTGCAAAGTTATAGAATTTACAATAAAAGCCCTAAATGTTCATTGTCAGCTCAAAGCTACAGAAATAAAGGACCCTACCGGATTTATAAATTTCGTTCATTTTTTCAAAAAATAATTTTTTAAAAAGTTTGACCATTTACGGACATGCGATGGAAAAAGTTTATCCACTCAGTAAGAAAGTATAGTGAAGATATTGTTTACACTGTATTTTGTAGAGCGGAAAACACGCTATAAACTGTCGATAAAAGAATTAAAAGAACATGGTTATTGTTTGAGAAAAAAATATTTTTCAAGCAAAAGTTGAAATTTTTGTTTTTCATACGCTTCACTAAAACTTCTACAGCAGGTCAAAGAAATACAGTGCCACACCCAAACTTAGTCAAAAATTGCCTGATACCTAACCCTATCTAGCAACACAATTTGAGTCTTCGAGACCAGCTGTATTAATAAGAAAATTATTGATTGTTTTGGTCTTAAAATTGATTTTTCTCATTTTCATTACGTGCTCTGTAACTAAAAACACGAAAAAAGCTAGCCGACGAGTCTCTTGATATTGAATATACTCTTTTCAACAACAGAAAAAAAGCACTCGATTATGCGTTCGAGCATGATTATATAAATTGCTAAGCATTGATAGTCTCAACTGGATTACATCCATCAGAGGTAACTATAACTGTTGTTGTTGTTTTACTGGCAAAATGCCTCTGTGCTACATCATCTGAAATAATTTGTACTTGTTTTTTAATTAGATCTATTTTAGTCATGGCCAATTGTTGTTCAGCAATCATAACATTAATTTTAGCCTGATAGGCTTGTTGATTAAGTTTATCTATTTTCAGTCGTGATTCTGATAAAATAAATTCGTTTCTCTTATGAAATGATGATTTCAATTCAGCTAGTGTCGCTGCTTTTTCTTTATCTAGTTTCTCAATAAATAGTTGTAATTTCGAACGATAATCTTCCTCTTGTGTTTTCTGTTCTTTATTGATTTCATCTAGAAGAGTTTGTTGTTTGAGTAGAACAGATTCTTCTATATATTCAATGACTTTCTTTGTTTCTATGGATATTTGTTCTTGACGAAGTTTAACTTGTTGATCCAGTTGTACATGCGTCTGATGAAATGAAGACATTAGTTGCGTTATCTGTTGCTTTGATTTCATCTCTACTTTCGTTTGTGTATTCGATTCGGTTGTTGATTCAATGTGAACATTGCCGTAATTGGCAGAATGGGACTTTTGATATTTGCCATCCGTGGAGGATACTTCTTGGACGGCTTGCTGAATTAATTGGTTTTGCGTTTGTTGGTGATTAAAGGTGAACTAAAAAAAAACGCAACGTTGAGATTATAGATCATGAACGTCCTCGATCACACTACAAAACTCGTGCATCTCTTACTAAAAGTAATCCTTTTTTTCCATGCAGCTGTTACCAGGTCAACATTAGGAACATGCCAAGATCTCACTGTGCTATCGTGCCATGTATGATCGAAAAAAATATCGCATGTAGCCAACGATAGAGAGGCAATATCTCTGCCTTTGGACATACTTAGCTGTAATGAAGATACAGTGGGTTTTACAAGTAGTGCGATGGATTCTTTACCCACGTTTGAACCATCATCCAAAAGAGCACCTATCCACCTCTCTAGTTTCGGCTTACAATGGAAAATATCACGAAAAGAGATGAGAGGTAGTCTGATATACAAGGGGGAAACACCGTACTCCGACTAACTTTGCGCTTTAGAAAATCTTCGATGACCATTTGGCTGGAATATCAGTTTGAGATAAATTATCATCAGTATTGTCAATTATTGGAATATTAGATAAATTAGCAAAAAATCCACTAACAAGTCCCATAGATTTCGAATACTTTGCGTCGAAATCCGTGCTGAACCCAATAATACGAATTGATTATTTTGAACATTTATCATAAATAGATAATCAACGTCGAATTATGTCAAATAGATACTACTTTAGTGAAAAAAATTGTCTCCAGAAAGTGACAAGGCATGTAAGCCAGATATTTTTTGACAATTTCGATAAGTGCGAAAGAGGACAGAACATGAAAACAATGTGACTATGTTGACAATTAATAATAAATCGAAGGAGGAGAAAATCAAAGCAGAAAGAAAACGAAAAAGACAAGGAAAATACTTCAAACTTAGTCCTCACGTCCTAAACGTCGTCGAAGGAGTTAATAAATCAAACTGGTATTTTTAATTCCTTGTGGTTTGTTTTTATAGATTTTATCTTTTCCCTATGTTCATAACAGTTAATTGCTAGAAATGTGAAAGTGTTATATTTATTATAGGGTTGATTTTTAATACAGTAAACAAGAGTCATTAAAGGTTTTTATTCGCTTTTAAAGTACGGTAATTAACAGATGTTTAGAAATTGTAGTATCAAGGCAGAAGGAGTTCTAGAAGGAATCGGAAGTTGCAGTTATATTTCTAGGAACTTTTGTCTATCATACAAACAGTGCTCTTGTCCTTTTCGAAATCTTTCTATTATTTAATTCTCATTCTCTGTGCATTTAATGATAAGAATATTATCATTTGTCTCTAGTACATGATAACGTTCCGTTATATTCCAATGAAAAATTTTACAATTTAGTCAATGAACTAGCTGGATAAGATGTCAATATTAAAAATTCATTAATACATTGGTTTAAGCTTTAATCTTTGAACCAGAACGAAATCGAGATATTCTGCACAATGGTTGAAGTATATTAATACATTCTGTTCAATCTTTATTGCATACGAATAATATATTAGAATTATTTAATTACGATCGTTCTCAGTTAATCGAAATAAAGAAAAAATCATGTTTCATGTTATCCGATGGAACGTATATCATCAAATATGGAATTACAAATGGACTAAACTATCTTACAAATATATTAAAATTAAAAAATGAACAACGAACAAAACTGAAATGAAAATCCGGCATCATTACACGAATTAATAATTAAACATTCATTATTGAAAGCATTAATTTTCTATTATAAAACTAGTACCATCGACCTGGATAAGCATCAAGAAGAGTTTTTAACAACATTGATAAGTAATATAATATCAAATTTAAAATGTCCAAAAAATAATTTTAGATATAATCATACAGTGCAAAATTTATTCATTCATTTATTGAAACATGCAAGTGTAATTGATTGTCATTATGGATTTATGTCTGAAGACTGTACAGGTGTTATACGAAAAATCAACTATGATCGAGCAACAAATATATTTATAGGATTTTCGACACCATTAATATCCAGTTTACCACCATACAAACATTTTCAGACAGATCCATTCAATGAATTGAAAAACTAGTTTTCACCTTATGAAAAAGCTCAACTACTGAATGCGAATGTACATCCGCTTAAACGTGCGTGACTGAATTACATTTTTTCAACTTTTGGACTCAGTTTCTCCTCAAATACTGAACAAAAGATGGCGAAGTTTTCATCAGAGATGTGCGGTAGAATGCTTGGTTTGTGGTAAAAATTTCGAATGCGTCGGTTAAGTAGAACGATTTTTATGAGCAAAATAGGTGTCGTGACGGAATTACATTTTTTAGCCTTTTTTTTCTAGTGCTCTACAACCTTTGAAAAATGCTGTAAAACGAAACATATTCCGAAAAAAAGTCTAATATAAAAGTTGTAGAGCATGAAAAGAGCTTTCGAATCATCTCTTTACTTTCACTCAAAAATGCTTAAGTGAAAAGAAACAGGCGAAATGGCTCCATGACGGAATTACATCATTTTTTTTGCTTGCTTTTGCGGTGGGTTTTATCGTTACATTTCTACCGGTAAAAAAATACTTCTATAAACTTGATCTGGACGGAGCCTTATGCAATCGAGTGCCCTCTATCAAACTAAGCAAGAAAGAACGGTGGGTGAAATGTTTTTGATTTTCGTAGAATTGCTCCAAAACAGTACCACTTCAAATTCGGCAAAAAATCAGCAAAAACCAGCAAAAACTTGTTTAGTGTGCAAAATGCGTTTTTTAAGATTGTTTCGACAAAGTCAATAGTGCGTTTTGTAGAGAATTTAATGCTTTATCCACTGATATACTTTCTGAAACTTTTTAAAAAATCAAGTGGGTCAGAAAATTGAAATAAAAAAGCTTCTAAATTTTAAATTTGAATTCTCGATTTAAAACTTTTGAGTTTCGTTCGTTTGAACGTTGATATTCGTAATCAGCGCAAAAAGCTGCGTCTAATGATGTGCTTTTAAGGCTGATTTGAGAGAAAAAATATCGCTCAACCCACCGCAGCTGAGGGTGACAGTTACGCGTTTTAGCCGACATATGTTTCAACCGACCACAATAAATTCAGCTCTTTTGTCACCTTATTTATTATCAACATATGGTACAAATTGTAAATTCACATCGAATGATATATGGCGCACATGGATATTTATACATGATGAATGCTACTCGAAACAACTCAAAGTTATTAGTTTTTCAACGCGTTGCGATGGAGAGTATCTTAGATAAGAAAGACTTGTTAGTGGCTTTTCACTCCAATATGAAAACTACAGATAAATCAGGTACTTTTCTATTATTATTCCCAAAAATTAAATTAAATTTTATTTACGTGAAAAACAAATATTAACTACTTTTTCATGATCCAATTCATCTTTGTACCAAACTACGAAATAGATTATTACCGAAAAAATGTGATTTAATGATGGATAGTCAAACTGTTAAATTAGATTATCTAGACAAGTGGATAGAAACAGATTCAAAATTGATTACGGTCTTGTTCGTTTCGATTTATATCCAAAAGATTGGCAACACTATACATCGTATGTTAATTTACTCACTAACAATTTTCAAATTATTAAATCGAAATCCTGATACTAAATCTTTGTATGTTTATTTATAATTATTAAATTATCTTACTATAGCATACGTTGATAAAACAACTACAATCGCTGACCGTTAAAATACTGATGGATTTGTATCTTTGTATGCCGATTATGGTGGGTTTGGTTAACATTCTACTACAATACCATTAATACAAGAACAACAGAAAAACATTGTTTCATTAATTCAATGCAATATTCTATTGAGATTGATGGTCATACCTTATTATACATAATTATGTTAGTATTAGAAAAAAATATCGAAAGATACAGTAAACAGTATTCATTTATTCAGTTCTCAGCTTTTCGAATCCGTTTTTCGAAATACAGGGTCATTGAGTGGAGTATATCCAACAGATGATATAGAAAAAATTATTTTAAGCGCATATGAAACAGCAAAAGTATTGATTGATAATTTGCAAATGTTCAAATTATTAAAACAAAATAAAATTTATAAATCAAAATAGTTATCCGCGTATATATCGAATAATTTAGGATCATCAAACAATGTAACTGATAATACAATAATTGGTGATGATGTTGACAATGAATCCGATATAAACACCAGTAGTGGAAATGAGGACAATGATTATTACGGTGAGCATGATGAAAGTGAAAATATTTCTGACGGGGAAACCTATCCAAGTGATACATTTCGATTTCAATCGTTCATACGTCGATCAATAGAGGGTATCGAGCTAGTAAAAACCTAAAAGGAATTTTCCCTATGACTCTTGAAGATCCGGTTTTCTGAAAACCAGTTTTTCAGAAACTCTAAAAAATAACCAAAAACCTTTCTTAATATACATAATTGTAGACATAATTGTAGCCCGCAAACTTCTACGCTTCACTAAAACTTCTATAACAAGTCAAACAACTGCAGTACCGCTCCCAAACTTTGTTAAACATCGCCCGATACTTACCTCTATCTAGCAGCACAATTTGAGTCTTCGAGACCGGCTGTATTAATAAGAAAAAAAATTCAACATTGAAAGCTTTGTATACGTTATTGATTGTTTTGATCTTAAAATATCATACGAATATAGAAAAAGAAAAAAACCATCAGTCTTGGACACAAAGTTCAAAAAAAATTTCACAAATCAATCTAGCTTTTCTTTGAAAAATGGAGGCGATTTTTGCAATTCATTAGAACCGCCATTAAACAAGCTGTAAAAGTACATACTGCTTTTTTTTCCATCGTGTTTTGTCACTGAGAAAGTTCATATGTTCTAGTTTTTTGATTGTAAACTCTTCCTTTTAAATTTTATTAACAGAAATTATTTCAAAAACGTTTCGGAAGCATCTTCTTCCTTCTTCAGTTTGAAAAAATAATGAATGACATATAGAACTATCTGAGAAACACATACTAATTATTCTTTTTTCCCTCTCTCTCTCTATAACAGTGGGAACGGACGGACAACAGGACGTTTTTACCGTCCCATTACTCATAATCTCTTAACTGTCTCTTTGATCGTTTAAATTCGATCTTCCTTTTTATATGATCAATATTTTTGTGCAACAAGGGCATCCAAGA